TGAACTCCCTTGATCGACGTCGGCGGTCGAAGGTCCTGCACTGCCTTGATCTTCTCGGGGTTGGCGTCGATGCCGCGCTGGCTGACGATGTATCCTAAGAATTTTCCCAAACCGACGCCAAAAGTACATTTTTTTGGATTTAACTTCATAGAATAATCGCGCAAAATGGAAAACATTTTATTGAGGTCGTTTACATGATTGGACGCGTACACGGATTTGACTAACATGTCGTCTACATATACTTCCATACATTCACCTATCAAGCTAGCAAACATTTTATTCACTAAGCGTTGGTAGGTGGCCCCAGCGTTCTTCAGCCCAAACGGCATCATCGTGTAGCAATAGAGCCCGCGCGCCGAGTAGAAGGAGGTATGTTCTTCGTCATCCGGATGCATGGGGATCTGGTTGTAGCTGGAGTACGCGTCCATGAAACTCATCAGCTCGTGCCCTGAGGTCGTGTCGACCATGTAGTCAATGTGGGGCAGGGGGTAGCTGTCTTTGGGGCAAGCCTTATTCAGATCAGAGAAGTCGATGCACAAGCGCCATGCTCCGCTGCTTTTCTTCACGAGTACCGGATTGGCTACCCAGGTCGGGTACCGGACCTTGCGAATGTATTCGTTATCTTTGAGCTTGATCACTTCTTCTTCCAAGGCTTGCGGTCGATCCCGGCCGAGCTTCCTTCGCTTTTGCACGACCGGCTTGATCGTGGGGTCGACCTGCAGTCGGTGACAGGCGACCCGAGGGTCGATGCCGACCATGTCTTCGTGGGTCCACGCAAAGACATCTGCGTTTTGTCGGAGGAATTTGGTCAGCTCGGCCTTCAGAGGCCCAAGCAATCTGCTCCCAATCCGGAGCTGTTTCTGGCAAGTCTCTTCATCAATGAAGATGACTTCGACTTCGTCCATAGGCTCGGCCCTCTTTGTTCCCTGCTTCTCCTCGTATTGGGTCCGGGGGTCGAGCTCGTCCTCCTCCGTGATTGGCCCTTTGCCGGCCCTTCTTCCCCTGTCCATGTCGAGGTCGGCCTCGGAGCTTCCCTCAGTCTGGTCGACACTTTTGTCAACCGGGGGGAGCGGGCCTGTCTGGTTTCCCAGCATGCGGTCGCTTCCCCGGTCGGTGCCAACCAGCCCGGCATCTGGGGTTGGGCTGCCTATCTCCGTCTCGAGTTCGGTGCTGACGGGATCGACGCTTGGTGAGGTCAATGGGTTTGAACCTGTCTGGTTTCCCAGCATGCGGTTGCCCCCAAGACCATCGTGTGCTGACCCGATGTCCGTCGCCTCGGCGTCGACTAGGAGATCTGCCGTATTTATCTCCGTGCGCGGGATGGTCAGAATGCATTCCCGCGCCTCCCTCTGATCTCCTCGGTGGGTCCCCTCTCCATCGGAAGTTGGGAACTTGAGGGAGTAGTGGAATATGGAGACGGCGGCCTTCAGCTTGTAGAGGGCCGTCCTCCCCAGAATGGCGTTATACTCACTTGGGCAGTCCATGATTTTGAAAGTTTCTAAGATTGTCTTCGTGGGCTGCCCCTTCTCCCCGAACCGGATTGACAGCGTGACTTGACCGACAGGGGCGATGGTCTGGCCGTTGAAACCCTGGATCCGTTCTCGGCAGGGCTGCACTTCCTTCCTATCGATCCTCATCTTCTTGAAGGTCTCGTAGTAAAGGATGCTCGCATAGGCCCCGGTATCGACCATGATGCGATGGATCTTTATCGCCATGATCGGCGCCGTGATCACCAAGGCGTCGGAGTGGGGGTGATCGAACAAGAAGGCATCTTCATCGGTGAAGGAGATGGTGTTCGGAGTTGGCTCCGGCGCCGGTCTGTGGTCGGCGTGCATCACCCTCTGCCCGGCATGGTAGGCCTGACGGGCATAGGCCTTGGTTTGCCTCCTGGAGAGGAGGGACTCGCTCCGGCTTGTGTTGACGCGCCGGGTTGGGTAGTCGGCTGGGTAGGCCCTGGTGCGTGGGGACCAGTCTCTCTTTCTGCCCGCCGGCCTCGTCTTGGTGGGTGGGGCAGAAAGTCATGATTTCGTGGGGGCCACCCTGCTGCGGCTTCTTTCTTCGAGGATTCACGTCAGCATCCTCGTCACTATCGAGGCCTTCCTCGAAGCGGCCTCCCTTCTTCCTCTTCTCTCCGGAGTGGGTGAACCTCCGGAGTTGGGGATCATCGATGAGTTTAAGCATTGCCGAGATTAGGTTTCGGCACTGGTCGGCGTTGTGCCCGTGCGCCTTGTGGTAGGTGCAGTAGCGGGTCTTATCCACCTTATCCTTGTCGGTGAACATGGGCTTGGGGTCCAGCAGCAACCCCTTAGCCTTTATCTCCTCGTAAACCGCTGCGGCTCCCACCGAGAAGACGCTTTGGTAGCTTTCCTTCAGCTCCTCAGCCCTCTGTTTTCGCTGGGCTCAGATTTCAGCGAATGACTTGCTCGGCTTCCCCGATTTTTCTTCCTTCGCCTTCGCCTTCGCTGGCGCCGACGTGGTATCAAACGTTGGGATGGACGAGGACTCCTCCGCCATTATGTAATCCTAAGCGCGGGCGAGGAATTCTTGGTAGATGGTCGGCTTAGTCTGGCACATGGACCACCTAAACAGCGTTTTCAGTCTCAGACCACCCTGAGCAGTGATCAGCAGGGCGTCGGGATGGCACCGCTCCATATTCTGGACTCGGTCGTTGAACCGAGCAATGTAGTCCTTGAGGCTCTTGTTCTTGCCCTGAACGATATTGGAGATCGACTCTTTGGGGGCGAGGTTGACCTGCGATCCGATGAAGTGCGACCGGAACGCCGACCTGAGCTGGGCCCAGGTGGAGATGGAATGGGGATAAAGGGAATGATACCATCTCTGCGCCTTTGGCCCCAATGTCAAGGAGAACATGCGGCAGCGCAGGGCGTCAGAGGCGCCGTGCAGGTCCATCCACGAGGTGTACAGACCGATGTGGGAGTCAGGGTCCGAACTCCCATCATAGAGGCCGAGCTGGGGTACTTTGATCTTCTTCGGGACGGCCTCCTGTAGGATGTCGGGGGAAAGAGGCGAAGCGTTGTCTACGACTCGGGGAGTGGGTCGTATGCAAGGCTATGGAAAGGTCGGGAGTGAAAGCTCACTCCCGGAGGGCTGCCGACCTTCCAGTTCGGCGATTCTGCGTTTGAGGGCCGCAACTTCCTCAGTGTCGTGCCCTATGGCCTTGCCCCGCCTGATCACCTCCCGGAGATCATGGTTGGCTTGGCTCTTGTCACCTAAGCGCTGATGGATAGAGCGGCGGACGACCTAGAGGCTTCGCTCCGGCCGGCTCTCCCCCGTCTGCTCGGTAGGAGCCGGTCTGGTGCCTTTGTCACGGCGGTTCTGAGCCTCGCAGTTCGGTGACTGAGCCGTGGTTTTGGATTTCGTCGGGTTCCTTTGCCCCCCGGCCTCCTTCTCGGGAGTGTGGAGCAGGGTATTGCCGGGATTCTCCGTGGGCACCACGGTGTTTGCCCCGGCTGTCTGACTGGCGAGGGCCTTGGCGAAGACCCCCTCGAGGGCTTTGAGGACATCAGGGTGCTGCAAGGCCGCAGCAAAGGTAGGGACTGGGGGAGCAGGGACTATGGGTCCCTGCTGAGCACGATGGGAGGTCTCCCCGCCGTTGCGTCCACGAGGCTGGGAGCCGGACTGCTGGGTGGAGTTATCATGGCCGAATGAAGACATTTTTTGAGAAGTTTTTGGAAGTGGAAAAAGTGGGAAAAGATGAGTGCGAAGTGGAGCTTCACAAGATCGAAAAATTGACACCAAGTAACTTATGGGCCCCTTCCTCTAGCGCCAAACTGTTGAAGGACGTTTCCGGTCAACGGTTAAAAAGGTAAGTAATAAAAAGGTAATGAGAAAAAGACAAAGAAATATGGTTTAATTATGATTTCATTGATCGATTGCGAGGTCGGCCTCTTGCACGAGGTCGGCACTTGCAGTATCCTTACAAATTCTTACAAAGTTTTTTACACGAGTCTAGAGAGAGAAAATAGAGAGAGTTCAGACAGTTGAGATTCAACAACCCAAATTAAATGAAGTGGGCTGCTATTTATAGTAGCCTTAAACGTGACACTGTTCAGGTATTGTTCGCTGGTCTTGTCGTACAGTAGTTCGACGGGACGGGCCGGCCTTTCTCTGACTGAGTAGGAGTAATTTCTGGATTTCCCAATCATTACCTGCCACGCATTTAATACGGGTGTGGTCTGCATTTATTGCGGACACGTTCTTTGGCCGAGATAGACGTCCTAGTCTTGTAGACTAGTCGGGGATGTCCTATCGACAATCATTAATCGACAAGTGGCCTTATTTAATTATTTTCTGGGTCCCCAACCCCTTAACCCCTTCTGGGGCCGACCTGGTATGACCGCGAGCCGGACTATAATAGTTCGCCTTCCGTCGCCCGTGGTTCCTTGTTGATCTCGGTATCGAATCAGTTCGGCTTCGCGGTTGGGTGTCATGGTACCGACCTCGCGGATGGGGAGAGAGAGGTGCCGACCCAGAGAACAACTCTGACCGTCATTTCTATTGACTTTGACTTCAGCTCAGCTCGGCACTTATGAATAACTTTCGGTGACCGGCTTTACCGGGTCGGCCGGTCCCCAACCGGCTCCCGATCTTTCAGACCGGGATCCGAATAAGAGCCGGACTCGGATATTAACAACATGCATTTTTTTTCCAGTCAAATTGCTGCACCCAATAAATTAAAGAAATGAACACTTTGTTGGTAAAAGATTGAAGGACTTTCCAGTCAAATACCAAAGTTAGGATAACATCAAAATAATGACGAAAAATACCAAATCAAGGGGTAAAATCCAAGCTTCATTCCATAGGAAAACACCAAAATAATGACGAAAAAGAAGAGCATTTTTCCAGAATTAAGAACCAAAGGATAAATCCAAGATCCAAAGAAAAATAAAAATAAAAATAAAAAGAAAAGCGAAGTCACTGCGAACCCACTTCCTCAAAACATGCCATCACTTGAAAAACCCCAAATCCAGCACTAATCAATGAAAAATAAGAGAGATGAAAAGCCCCACCAAAAAGAATTTACCCATTACGTAAAGTTTGAAGACAACAAAGATTCGAATTTTATCCAAATCAATCCAACAAAACCCCAAATTTGCTGATAGAAGTTGCGATCTGGCAGTTCTTGATTCTCTCTGGAGTGTCCCCGAGCTCTCTTCCACGGCGTCGGGCGTGCCGGAGGAGCCGAAGAATTCCGCGTTGAAGGTCACCGTGCCGAGGGTGGAGGTGCGGAGCAAGCGAAGCACGGTTTTGGAGTGGGCGCAAGCTTGCAGGATGGCTCGGGTTCCGGTGGTGACCCGCCGGACCTTCACCTCCTTGCTCTCTCTTTCTCTCTCTTCGAAGTCCAGCGGTGTGGCTACGTGAAAAATGTCGTCGCAGCCGTCGGTGTCGATACAACTGGATCTGCCGATGACATCGCCGCTGCTCAGGAAATGAGAGTAATAAGAGTAGTTGCTTGGTAGGGTTTGTAAAAAGAGTGAGACGTTTCTGTCTCAATCTTGCGTGCGCGAGATTTCTGCGTACACGAATAGAGAAGTCAAAAAGCAAATCAGATTTTCCGGTAAAGCAAGTGCCAAATTAAATTACATGCCTAACCTCAAAAGCAGAAAAAATTAGGGCAATTAAGGGGCAGTGAAGTAATTGCACATAAAGTTGGACACTTGTCAATTTTTTAACACACCAAAAATGGACACGTGTCGCCATCACAAAAAGCCTCACTTCTTCATATATAGATAAGAGAGATATAGTTACATAATGAACAAATGATGCATTACATCGACTATCAATATACTACAAGTTCAAAGTACTATTCAACCAAGCAGGACCGGCCCTGGCCCAGGGCAGCCTGGGCGACGGCCCAGGGCCCAAATTAAAGGAGGGGCACCATGTACCACTAGGCCCACTATACATTATATATAATATCTATGTATATTGTTTATATATATAATATGCTGCACTTTTAATCTCTATCTCCCAGAGTCCCACCTAATCTCGCTTCCTCTGTCTTTAATTTATTGTTTAGTCTTTAATATATCTTGTTGCACTAAAAGGCCAATTTGTTTTCCACCAAATATCGAAAAAAAAAAGCCCTAAATCTTGAGAATTCATCTTCCCAAACAGCAAACAGCAACGGTCAGCTTCTAATTCTTCTTGCTTCAAGGTTTTCGACTTATCATTATCCCCATATCCCTCTCATTTCTAAAATTTTAACGGTTAATTTTATAGATTAAAATTGGCCGTTTCAATCTTTGTTTTCCATATTCACCTTCAAATTTTGATGGAATCTTTTCTTTATTTTTGGGAAAAATTGTTCAATTAAAATCCCTTGAGGCTTGAGCGACATAGCCAATAATTAGAATTTAGAATATTTCCAGAATTTGGCCCCTAAATTTGCTACCCGCTCGCCGCCTACCTCGCCGGAGCCGCCCGGTTCGCCATCCACCACAACCGGGCCTAACGTAAACACCGTCGGCGTCTGCTGTTGGGCCGCACGCAACCACTTTCCCTTCTCCTCCACCTTCGCCCAACTGCCCGAATCCCCGACGGACGACTACCGTGTGCGAATTATTTTTGACACCAAAGGTCAAACACTAAATAGTAAATAAATTTGAAGCATAAATCGTCCGTGTCACAATATTTTGATTTCATAATTTAGTTTAACATTTTAAAAATAGTTTGAGTGGTTAATTAATAATTAGTTGTTCCTTTTTTCGAACTAATTAGTCATTTCTTTAAATTTTAAAGCTTAGCACACAGTAATTATTTTGAGTACTGATTTAGTTATTTTATTTGTTTGCTTGTAATTCTTTGTTGTAAGAGTAATACCGTAAAGTTAAGATTATGTGTGGTAATTCTGCTTAAGTTATGTTGTTAATTATTTGTGTGGTAATTCTAAAGTACAGTGTGGTAATTTTCTGAAGCTATTTTATTTTTGATTGGAGAACAAATTTGGGATAATTTGTGATTAACTTGTTACAGTTTTGATCATTTGAAACTTATAATGATTCCGAGAAAACAATTCTCTAGATATCAATTAAAATGCTGGAGTTATTGGTATTATTTAAAATGTATTATTTAATTTTACTTTTTTTTTAAAAAAAAAATCAAAGTATTTGGAGCATTATTTTTATACTTGGCCCAGGGCCTAACAATTTACAGGACCGGCTCTGCAACCAAGTTGTACTACACGAAAATGTGACAACACAAGTACTTCCCCGCTAAAGGTAGCTTGTCTCGCCCAGGAGGTCAAAGATGTAAACACCAATGCCATCAATAGGTCCACGTTAGCCTAGTTATGATGAACAATAGAAATAAATGATTGTCGGCATTAGTTCCACGTGAGCCTACTTATGATGAACAATAGAAATGAATGATTGCCACGGCCTAAGGCAACCGTAGTTTTACCAAATTAAACGTGCACTTCAATGAAAGACCAGAATGGGGTGTAAGAAAGAAATTTCAGTTGAAATCTCGGTAAAGGTAGTTTAATGGTACAATAAAAGTAGCATGAAAGAAACTGAGTCGCCATAGTCCAGGGCAATCACCGGTTGTTTACTCTTTACTAATCTTTACGAACCTGTCAAATATACATTTAAACAAGTTGTCATATTAAGTTAGTGATAAGAGGCCTGCAACTTTTGAAAAATATAATAGAAATGAGGGTTCATAATGATAATGTTAGTTAGCATATCAGATAATTATATGTT